GGGGAGCAGCAGGAGCACTTGGGGTTCACCCAGCCTGGCAGCCCCAAAAGGAGAGGGCACGGGGGGGGGGAGGGGGGCATTACTGTCACCTCCCCTCCGAGCTTTTGATGCCTGTAGGGTCTCCAAAGCCTGGCCCCAGGCTGGTGCCACCCAGTCCCAGAAGAAGACATCTAGCAGGTGGTTTGGCCCTAATGCACCTGCGAAACATTGACTTTCAAAACATTTCAATGCTGTTCTCCTTGCCCTTGCTTCGCCCCCCCGGCCAGCAGTCCCTTGCAGGGCCAGGCCAGGCCACAAGACCCCTCGGGTTTGTCCCATGGAGCTCCAAGATATTTTAACCCCCAGGGTACTGGGTGCCCTAGGGGAGCCGGGCATCCCCAGAGAGGCTGTGCCGCACCCCGACAGCTCTTCCTCGCCACGGCAGGACTTCATGTGTTCATCAGGACCATATGGTGAGATGGAGGCACACCACACAACCTCCTCGATTGGCAGCAGCTCCCACACCCTGGCCAGCACGTGGCCTCTTGACACAGCACCCCGGGGTCCCTTGGGGAAACTGAGGCACAGAGGGGTACAGCCCTGTCTGCCTGCAGAAATCATCAGCCCACCACTGCCCAAGCACAGGGATGCAGACCAGGTTTATTGTCCATGGAGAGGTGATAGAAAGGAAGCTTACAAAATAAATAAATATCTATATATGCCTATATACAGTCCACACGCCCCCTGCAGACAGACCTCACAGCACTCATGCAAAAGCACTTCAAAGCACAAATTAGCACAATGACTTAGTACAAACTGCTGTGTCGGAAAGGCTCAGGTACCTCCGGGAAGGTCATTCCCCAAATCGCCCCCTCTGTTCCTTCCCCATAAACGCCAGCATCCCGTCAGCAGTGCTGGTCTGGACCCCAATCCCAGCCCGCTGGTGGCATCCCAGTCTGGTCCAGCCAGCCCTTGTGCCCTGCTTCAGCTGCCTACCCCACAACCACCATCCTTAGCCACAGTGTCCCCAAGCTCTTCCCAGTCCAATCTGCGCAGCTCATGCCCCTTCCAGTCTGAGACGCCTGGCCACGCAGCCCGTTGTGGGGGCAGCAGGACATCAGTCTGTGCCCTGGGGGCATATTGGCCGAGGGACCTGGAAGCAAACTGGCACATGGTGGGGTGCCAACTGGTTCCCATCCCATAACATTGTATGCAAAGGATGGGCAGGGAGGTAAAGCCAAGGACAAGGACGGGCAATGGAGCTCAGCCTCAGTTTCCCTGCTCAGGTCTTCACCCAACTCCTGCAGCCTCTGCAGGGAGGGCAGCAGGAGCTCCAGCAGGGCAAGGCCCCCACCGCGCAGCACCCCTATATGTCCCCTGCTTTTGCACACCTACAAAGACACATGCACACAGACACACACCCACATGCATGCTCTATCTACGTTGCTTCATTGCCTTGACGAGCTCCTCCAGCTTCAGGGCAAGGTGCAGGTCGCCTTTCACCTGAAGCCTCCCGCTCATGTAGGCACTCAAGGGGCGCAGGTTGCCCAAGAAGAGGTCCTGCAGGTCTTTCTCTGCCACCTCCAGAACGACATCAGGGCTGCCCTCGGGCATACCGTGGCCAGCTCGCCCGTTACCTGTAGGACAGGATGGATGGGAGAGGGAGAAACAGCAGGCTTCAGGATCCAGCCTTGCTTACTGGTGTTTCCCCCACCATTTCGCATGGGTTGAGTTGGGCCAGATGACAGACAAGGGCCTGGCAGGGGAATTTTGGAGACAGGAATCCTTACTCCTTACAGAGATAAATTTCTCTTGTGGTGCTCCACGAATGTCCCATTACAGCGGTCCACCTCCAAGTCCTGACCTACTTTTGCCACGGTGTGCTGCTTTTGGCTGGGATAGAGTTAATGTTCTTTACAGTAGATAGTATGGGGCCATCACTGGGAATGTGCCCCCCCTTCCTTCTTCTTCCCCTGTTTTTTTATTGCTGGTCATTGAATAACCCTTGGGCCAGTTGGGGTCAGCTGTCCCAGCTGTGTCCCCTCACAACTTCTTGTGCCCTCCCGAGCCTGCTGGTGGGGCGAGGACCAGAAAAGGCCTTGGCTCTGTGTAAGCCCTGCTCAGCAATAACAAAAACATCCTTGCATTACCAATGCTGGTTTCAGCACAAATCCAAAACACAGCCCCATACCAGCTACTGTGAAGAAAATTCACCCTATCCCAGCCAAAACCAGCACATACGGCCACCAGGAAACCCATCAGCACCCACAGGGGAATGGATTAGGGTGCTGGGAGGACACCCAGCACGGCAATGGCCCAAGGGACTGCTCACACATGTCCCTCCATCACTATCCCTTTGGGCTGCTGGCATACAGGAGTCAACAAACCTTGAGGTCTCTGAGCCATCCTACTTGGCCAGCCACGAGGAGACCTAGCTGCCAATTTTCTATCAATACTCTCTGAAGAAAAATTCATGGGTTTAACTCAAAATAAATCATACTTTGGACTTTCAGGGAGCAGGGACTCAAGGCCAGGGTCACTAAAGTGCTCAGCTGATGGACCCTGGGGTGCCTTTCATGAGGCTACCAAACAGGCTTGGTTTGGGACCCCCTACTACCAAGCTCAGTGGGGGTTCACAGCACGCAAAAGGGGTATGAGTACAAAACACCCTCCCGCCTCCAACACAACAACCCCAATGAGCGGTGACCTGAGGAGAGGTCTATGAAGTAGGTGCTCCGGGCGCCGCTGGGCAGGGTGATGTTGACCTGGTAGGATGCTCCCACCTGGCTGACCAGGGCCTCGGAGAGGACGCGCTCCACCGCTGAGAGCAGCTCATCTGCGCTGGGCTTCCTCTGGGCGCTGCCAGCAGTGGTGAGGAGGGGAGCAGCAGGTGGCTCCACCTCGTTCACAGTCTCCATGCTGTCTGCTGGGAACAATGGGACAGAAGTGGGTTGAGGGGACACTTTTGGGTGGTGAGCTTTGCTGGTCTGCATGAACCCAGCAGAAAAGGTCTCCAGAGAAAAGAAACCCACTTATCCAGCAAGTTTCCAGCTAAGCAAGAAGAGGACAAAATGGTTTTGCCAGTTCCTGCTGCCTGCTCCTCTGTCTGCCCATGGGCTACTCTTCCCCTGCTTCCAGGGGGTGGAAAATCATCCACGAAAGAAATAGTGAGGCACAAATTGGTGCAGGGTTTCTTGAAAAAAACTCCATGTTGCCCTCAGATGTGACTCTCTTGGCAAGCTCGGGCTTGGGTTTGCCTGATGGAAATGCTGAGTTGGTTCCGAGCCCAGGGTCCTGCGGATCTGCTCCTGCCCTCCCCAGCCCCATCTCCAATGTCTTGTTAGAAAGGCGGTGCTGGGCCACGTGCCATATGGCAGTGGCTGGGCCCGAAGCTGTCCTCTCTCCTCCTCCCTACGAGCCTATTTGTGCTGTGCTCGTAGGAGCGTGATATCTCCCAGACTTTGACTCCTCTGTCAACCAGCCAACAGACACAAAGGTCATCGGGCAGGAGGGACATCTCCCAGCAGGGGAGCGGTGGCCCCGGGTTGGTTACCTGCCTCCGGAACACCGGTCCTGTTGCCCACCAGAGCCAGGGTGTTGCTGAAGAAATGGGCAGCCAGCTGCTGAATGGTGCCATCCAGCCCCTCCAGCCCGGGCACAGGTGTCATGGTGGCCAGAGGGCCCACCAGGTTCTCCTGGGGCGGCTGTAGCACAGCCTCCATGCTGAGTTCCACCCGGTCCACCTCCAGGCCCCAGGACTTGGTCATGTCGTTAATCTCCAGCTGCAGAGCCGGGAAGAAAGGGAGAGGTGTTGGCAGCCCAGGCAGAGCTGGGTACGGCCATGGAGACCACACACCACAGCACCCCCAAACACGGGCATTCCCACACCTTATCCTTCTGCTACCCACCAGCTTTAAACACAGGGGGTTGAACCAGGCTCAATAGCCCATCTCCTCCAAGCTGTCCACTCTCATGTCCAACCCTGCTCACCCAGGTGCTCTCCCGGCTTGGAGGAGGTTGGGACGGGGGACAGCTCTGTCTCGTTCCCCTTTCTGTGGTTCCCTCCCAGGCTGTCCCCTTTCCTCACGCTCCCGTGGGTACCATGGCCTGGCGTGGTGCTCCACCAGGCAGCATCTCTGACCTTCAAGATGCTCCAGACACCCCAGAGATACCAGTATGTCCCCTCAGCCTCTTTTTATATCCTCCCTTGTAGGCATTCAACCCACAAGCTCTTGGCCTGGCCCAGGTTGGCTGCGGGCACTAGTCCTCACCCCTCTGCCACCGCCCGCTCCTGCTTCTTTCCCCAAAGGCCTTTATTCCAGTTTGCAGCCCCCTCCAGACATTTTCCTGGTGGAGATATGGAGGTCAAATTTAAGCCTGCTGACAACCCATGGGCTCTTCTGTGTGGCCAAAGCCCTTGGAGATAAGCCACAGAGCTCCAGAGACCCACAGGCTGAAGGTATCTGCTCCCCACTAATCACCAAGTCTTCCCAGCTCTCCTCCTTGGCCAGGTCCATGGCCAGGTGGACCTTCAGCAGCTACAGCTTTCCTTTACTGTTACTTCCACACCAAGAGCCTGAGGGTTTGGGGGCTCTGTGCAGGGCTCGAGTGGTACTCACCAGCAGCTGCTCCCCGATCCTCAGCTTCTCCCCCTGGATCTCGCAGAGACTCTTCTTCACCAAGGTCTTGGTCATGGCGTTCTGCGCTGTCATCCGTGTGGCTGCGATGAGGTCCTTCACCATCATGACAGACAACACGGGGTCCCACACCCGGAATTGGACGTCGGCACCCATGGAGATAACCGCTCCATCCTTGGAGGTCAGCTGGGGCAGAGGGGAGTCAGGATCCCGCCTCCTCTCCACCCCATGGCCCAACACTTGTGCATAAAGCCTGGGAGCAAAGGCATTTGCTTCTTTCCCAGCTGGCAACCGGCTCTAGATCTCTTTATTAAGAGGGTTATTATAAACAAAACCAATGCGAATGATGAAGTTTGGGCTTGTCTGAATGGTGAGGCCAGTTTCCAGCACAGGGCTGTTACTGAAAGACATCTGGAAAGGATAGGGATTGATGGTTTTGTGATGTCTCCAGCCAGGAACATACATTGAACAAGGTGTGCAAAGTCAAGAGAAGCTTTTCAGCCACAGGCAGGTGGGAACACTGGATTCACAGCACCAGCTACAACCCCCTCACCTTGCCGTGAGGATGGAGGAACTGAAAGTTGGGTCCATGCATGGCACTGAGGGTCAGACTATCCCCAAATCCACCCCCGCTCTGGGTATTTTAGAGATGCCTCTCCATCCTGCCCTGAGGCCCAGGGCAGCTTACCTTGCAGGGCGGCACGTTGAAGGCCCTTGTCCTCAGATCCACTCGCTGCCAGTGATCGATGAAGGGCAGCAGCAGGACCACACCAGGTCCCTGCGGTGCCCGGATGCGGCCCAGACGGAAGATGATCATTCGCTCATAGGTGGGCACGATCTGGATCAGAAAAATTTAAACTAGGGCAGACGCAAAACTCTGGGTCCTGCAATGCTGGGAGCCATGGGACCAGGGGCAGCAGGGAATGGTCCCCTCCATCGAGGATGGGGTTGTCGTCCCGCTCCTCGCCTGCTTTCCTCCCTTACCTTCAAAGCAAACCATCCTGAGATGGGGAAGGTGACAACCATCAGCAAGAAGACCAAGGAGGTGATAATCCCATGGCAGATCCAGGACAGCCAACCCTGGGAGGAATCTGCAGGGGGGTGACAGGGGAATGTACCTGCTCCAAAACCCCCTTCCCTGCCCATGAACCCCCATCCGAGCCTCTCCCCCATGCCCCCTGCACCCCAGAGAAGCTGGCAGCGTGGGGGGCACCCAGCCAGTGCGACACCCTACAGCAGAAGTGGCAATAGGGAGGAAGGCAGCAACTCTCCTCTAAGGTTGGGACTCACCTGCGGTATTCCCGGCTGGCCCAAGGGGGTCTTGCTTGGATCGGAAGGAGAAGAAGCCCTTCTGGGCACCGTAGAGCCCGATGCTGGACTGCTGGAAGCGGTCAAAGTCTCCCAAGGGAAGGGCCTGGTATCCCGACCGGCTGAACATGGTGCTGGTGCCTCGCACGGAACCCCGCTCCTGCTGCTTGGAGCCCTCTAAGCCCGGCTCCCCGCTGCCATCGCAGCCACCTCTG